CGGGTAAAGACTTTTTGTAGATGTTCAAGATGCTCATCAAATGTTCTTGAGTATACAATAGTGTCATCTAAGTATACTACTACAAATTTCCATGCAATTCTATCATAAACTTGGTCCATTAATCTTTAGAAGGTTGCTGGAGCATTGCAAAGTCCAAAAGGCATTACATTAAATTCGTAAATGCCGTATCGAGTAATAAAAGCAGTCTTTTTTCGGTCTTTAGGGTCCATATCAACTTGCCAGTATCTACTAGCAAGATCTAGAGTAGAGAACCACATTGATCCAGCAAGTGCATTCAGTATTTCATCTATTCAAGGTAAAGGATATGCATCCTTCTTTGTAATAGCATTAAGTTTTCTGTAGTCTACACAAAAATGTAATTTTCTATTCTTCTTTCGTACTAATACAACAGAAGAAGTCCAGGGGCTACTAGAAGGTCTAATAAGTTTATTATCGAGATCTGTTGTATCTCTTCTTTTATAAATGTCTGTTCTGTAGGTGGCATCGAATAAGGGCATGATCGAATAGGAGGTACTTCTTCAGTGTAGATTTTATGAGTAACCAAATTAGTATGACCTAATTTAGTTATATCTGATGCAAAAAGGTCTGAAAATTTTTCTAATAGTGTCCTAAATTTTTGTCCTTGTTCTAGTTATAAGGGTCCAATATTTACAGCTATTTCAGAGATCAAGATGTATTCTTCATAAGGAATACAGGTCTTAATAGAATATACCATTTGGGGTACGAGGTTGCTAGGATTTGCCTCAGGCTTGTCTGTGTCATCAGGTAGTTTTTTATCTTGCCTGGGATTTTCTAAAAATTTTGAGGTCTTAAAAGAGTTTCAAGGACATTTTCTTGTTGCCTTATATGTTGAAAATGGTTTTGGAAGAATTGTAGGATTTGTGCATTGGTGTCTTGCAGAGATTGAACTTGTGTCTGTAATTGTTGGATGAGTTGGGCTTGTTGATCCAACTGGAGTTGCATCTTGGTAAGAGGTTCAATATAGATAGTGTCTGGTTCTGAAGTAAGTTCAGTGTTTGGTGCATATGCTAATGCAGTATCACAATCACTACAGTATCCTTCATGTTGGTCTAATTCTTCCTAATGCTTAACATGTAAGCATTCTTTACAAAGATTAACAGGAGTACTAAAATTGCGACGTAAGGTAGCAAGAGTGAATTGCTGATTATATTCAGGATGGCTAGTATCAAAGGACTCATCTAGCATTTGTTGAAGAAGAAGTTCATCATCTTCTTCAAGGACTTCTTGTTCTCTATGTAATACTAATTCCATGTCATCATTAGACCAGGATTGGCTAAAACGATCACCAACTTGGGGTTCAAGGGCTTCAATAATAGTTTGGTCACTTTCCCAAAGAAGAACAGCAGCAAGACGATATATACGAGTCTGGTTTAAGTCATATTGAGATCTGGCGCTTCAGTTAGATTTTGTGTAATGTCTGATTCTTGTCCATAAGTTGTAGTTAGGATTATAAAGAACATTCTGGCTAGCTTTATAAGCATATAAGTGTTCAAGCTCACAAAACCAAAGTTCTTCACTAAGGCTTTCTAGTTGGTATATTCGAAAACGAGGTTCTGCTTTTTGGCATACTTTATATTCTACAAGTAGTTCATAACCTTCCCCTTGTGTATAAAAATGAACACTTTGGGGGTCTTCTCGATCAAGAGCATAATGAAAGTCAAAATAACAAGCATGACAGAAGGGTTGATTGTTAAGAGCTCTCAGGGATTTAGGTCTTTCTGGGACATGGCATTGGCAGCAATAATGAGTATGTCTATGGCTATAATGAGGTAGTCTTTGGGATTCTACTAGTTCAGAGTTACAGCCACACTTGTATGAATGGTTTTGCTTTCGGAGGTTAGCCAGAGAACAATTAATGCTAATATGTCCATAACTATTGCAGAAGTTACAAATATTTTGTGGACAGGCTCTATAGAGATGGTCAGGTTGATTGCAAATGTAACAGCTAACTCTTTTTGGTGGTTGTTGAGGACAGTAAGTGGCGATATGTCCAGGTTGTTGGCAATGATTACAAAGGTTGGTAGGACATTGTGCAAAAAGATGATTTGGAGATCCACAGTTTCCACACACACAGGCTTTAGGTTGTCTGGTTCTACGCTTAGGTTGGTAAACAGTCCATTCTTCTGAACTATTACTAGAAGATAGTTCAG